GAGGAGGCTACATGGCCAGTCTTCAAAAACCTGAGGCAGAATTACTATATTCTCCTGCAATACAAATGTTACACATCTAAGGAACTATATGGAAGGGACCTGTGCACTGTGTGCATGACAACAGCTTTCATAACATCCAGATAGGTAATCAACTTAGCTGTCTATCAGGATAGGCACAGGGAGCATCTACTACAGGATGGGTGGCTGTGCGATCAGACACTCGCTAAAGGAAGTCAAGGAGGCACGGGAAGAAGGACTTACAGCCTCACACAGACCAGAAACTGAACTCACAGGAGGAAGGAGCATAGCTACCACAGTTCAGCAGGCAGAGACGGCAATGCTTGCTCAAAGACTACTCAGTTTCAAATAGGCCTAATCCTAGCTCTCCAAGGCACAGGCTGGCAGACAGATCTCAGAGTTCAAGGCCAGTCTGGCCTACATAGTGAGTTCCAGGACAGCCAGGGCTTTGTAGTCTACATAGTGAGACTCTGTCTCAACAAAACAAAAGTTTAATACTCAGCTTAGCACTTCTAAACAGGCCAAACAGGATAAGTGTACACTAGCAAACCATGGTCATTCCAATGAAAACCTTCCGCGCCCATTGTAAAGTCCTTGTCACACCTCTTCACATGCCTCGAATACCAGTAAGCCTCCGCAGTTCTTGTTCTGGTTAGCAGCCTTTACAATGCCATTAATCAGTAATTAAAGAAGCAGCTTATATAGTTTAAGGATTAATCAATCCCAAGAGTATGTCCACCATACATACACTAATCAATCAATACAGCCCCATTTTATGTAGTGCTTACAGGCAAGTGGATGTGTACAGCCATGTACTTAATAAAGGGTTCTAAGTAGCTCAGACCCTTCCTTAATGCACAATCAAGTCTCCAGGAAACACAAGCATTTCTGGAAGTCTCCATGGTCGCATAATTTTGCAATAGGCTATAACTGCATCACTTTCTTTCTGAGTCAGTCACCCATGGAATGCAATGAGCAGTCCTCCAGAGAGGAAACTGATTTCATTTTCTTTGAGCAAGTATCCTCCTAATTTATCTGAACCACAAAGCCTCTTCATTCCTTAACAAGCTGGGACTTTCTAACAGTCCTACTACCATGGCCTTTTCCATCATTTCCTATCTGATAACCTTAAGTAAAACAGAACGTACATAGCTACAAATCAAAGCCCTATCTTATTAACACTCACTCAGTGCCCCCCACACACAAGCCCAGGCAGTCTCCACCTCCGACTGTCCTTTGGTTGCCTGCGTTTGTCCGTTTCTGAGGCAGGGCCTCGTGCAGCCCAGACTGGCTTAGAGCCCTGTCGGCCTTGCTCTCCCAGCTCTCACTTCTCAAGTCTGGAACTGCAGGTCTAAGCCATCTCCCCTACTCACTGTGTGTACATCACAGAAACGACACCTGATCACACAAAACAACCCTACCCGCTGTTACCAGAGTCAATTCAGCACACTGTCCTCCATCGCCTACACCTTAACTTAGCGGTCATAAACTATACCAACAATCATAATCCTCCTATAGCCTCTAAAATAAAAAAAAAAAACTAAAACTTCACTAATGACATTCAGTGATATTTAACAATATTTTAATACTGAGAAAACTCACACTAATTAAAACAAGCTCTGACATTTTAAAAAGCCCCAATTTTTGAGATGTAAAGTTAACTATTAATAAGCAAAAGGTCAGAAATATTAAGCAAATTAATTTTCAAACTGACACATTTTTGCAAATGTGATAGGAGAAACACTTAAAAAACTAAGTCTTCATAGTGACAAAAACAGAGGAAGAAATCTTAACTGGATGTTAAAAAGTAACTTTATCACACATGTTGGAAAATAGTCCTCCAAGTCATTCAACTGCACTAAAAAAATATTCTACAGCAAAAAAAAATTTTTTTAAAAATGAAGCCAAAAGTTAAAAAAAGAACTGCCTAACTAAGCCTATACTTTCAAGTAACACTAATATCTTGTACAGGTTTCAAAGTTCAATGTACTTCCTAGTTTGCTTAATTGAGTAATTTTCCCTTTTGCCTTATTTAAAATAGCTCTTAATGAATAACCCACACATTATCTTATTTCTGAAGCTTCAATTAAATATATAATTTGACAAATACAAACAAAACTGAATAGTACCATATGAATGCTTATTATTGATATTATGATCATATATCTATGTATGCCCACTTCATTGTTTGTCTTTTAATTAAGACCAGCATAGTGATGATATAGGAAACAGAAGGGGGAGGACAGGAACAGAGGGAAGGGGGGGAAAGGAGGAAGCAGAGGGAGAAGGAGGGGTCTACATTGTGAGGGGGCATGACACAGGATTCTGAATGAGTATGACACTTATTCTCTGGTTTTTAATCAAGTTATTTTCACCTTCTCAACCTGCTTTGTCAGGAAGCCAATGGTGACAGAATCATCCACCTGGACTCTCTGCCTTCTGACCGGGGAAAACACCTGGCAAACATGACTAATTAAAAGGTAGGAAAACCGGAAGACCTACTGGCTACTGTTACTTACCACTTGCAGACACACACACTAGGTCATTTGTATCTAAAATGTTTCATAATGGGATTGTTTACCCAGCTTTAAAAAAAATGACAAAAAAGCCACGTTCAGCAAGAAGTCTCAAGCAAGGCGTTCTCTTCTGCTCAACCGCTGACATACTGGGACAAGGAAGTAGGCTGTCTTAAAGCTGGTCAAGAAAGCTGAAAACTACTCACTGGAAGGCAGCTGAGCAAAGAGGTCGGTTCTGAACTGAGTCAGGAAATCAGATTTCTAGTTTCAACTATTTCACTAATAATTGTTGGACCTTGCACAAGTCTCTGGGCTTCAGTCAGCTTATCTATAAAATATCTACTGAAAATCACAGATGAGATCAAAGTTCAATTTAATCTGAGTTTCACTTTAGAGAGGGAGCTCAAAGAAGTGCTTGATAAAGTAGCTCTGCAGGGGCTGCCAACAGTGGAACACTGCTCTGAGTGCTGTACACACACACACACACACACACACATCACCACATACAAACACATCACACATCACATACACTACACACACACATACACACATCACCACATACAAACACATCACACATCACATACACTACACACACACCAAACTACACACAAACATACACACACGTCACATACACTACACACACACCAAACTACACACAAACATACACACACGTCACATACACTACACACACACCAAACTACACACAAACATACACACACACACATCACCACATACAAACACATCACATATACTACACACACATACACACATCACCACATACAAACACATCACACATCACATACACTACACACACCACACTACACACAATCATATGCACACGCCACATACACTACACACACACCACACACAAACATACACACACACACACACACACACACACACGGCAACAAAGGGAAGCTTACTGTTATTGATGACCTGCTTAAAATATTTTACTAAAACATTAGGTCATATAGAAATCCAAAAATTTAGAATGAATACTCCAGCTATCCAAATCAAGACAAGTTATGCTTGCATTAGCATACTATTCTCATTGTGAAGAGATCAAAACTCTAAAAAGTTTTATCAAAAGGACATTTCACACCATACATTATAGACAACACTGAAAAGTTATTAATACTAAATGAGACAACTTCTCACTGAATTATCAGAATAAAAGAAACTGAACTGCTATTTGCTTTTTAGGTATACAACTGATGACAACTTATGATATAACCATATTCTGTGACAATAAAAGTAACCAGAAATTAAAAGGATGTAGACTTGGGAAGCATAAGGTGAACTTCTAACTCCTAGGAATGTGTGGTTCATCAGTTAATAATCAACCAGCAGGAATTTCCCAGGCGCATGGTATATGCCAGATTCTGGGCACAGATGAAGGCAAGCACCGAAGTACGACGCTTCTCAGCCAGGCAAGTTCCAAAGACTTGGAAAAGTCCAGTGCGTCCTACAGTATCATCGCTTTCAACACCGTAAAACCACTGTCTCCAATATCTCACAGTGGTGAGACTGCTTCCCAACGATCATTCGCACGGTTACCTTCTCACATCACACACACACACACACACACACACACACACACACACACACACACACACACACTGTCCCAGGCGGTCCCTGACACCAGGATCCCCACAGGACCTAAGGCAGCAGGTTGCGGGATTGCACCAACCACGCCAGCGTCCGACGTCCACACCTGCACAGCCCATCCGTCCGTCCATCCACACAGCTATGTCACCTCCGGTCATTCGGCCAGTTGCACGGATGAACTTCTTCCCCCCTCGCGCGCGGCTAGCGCAGGCAAACTCTACTTCTTGCAAGTCTGCTTTCCGCCCTGGACGGTGGGCACTAGGGAAAGGGAAACCGACGGGTCCATCACCGCTGCCCTACTTCCATTTCAGGTCAAGGGAGGGAGGAAAAAAAAAAAAAAACCGCCCTGTTCGGCGGCGAGAAGCCAGGGGGGCCGCCCGCGAGTCGGGAGGGCGGGTGACAGAGACTCCACTTTGGGATCGGGGGGCCGGCAGGAGCGTGACGGGACGCGGGGGCAAAGGCGCGGGGCGCGAGGCGGGCGAGGGCGAGGAGAGCCCGGCCCCCTGGAGGACGGCGGGGTCGCTCCCCTCGCCACCTCCCCCGGGGGGAGCCGGGATGCTGCCCCGGGCCGGGCGAGGACGGGCCCGGCAGCCCGGGGACGCGGGGCACGGGCGCGGCGGCGGCGGAGGTGGAACTCTGCCGAGTCAGCACCGCGCCCGCTCGGCCGCACTCGCGGGAGCCCGGCGGCGGCGGGCGGACGGGCGGGCGGAGCGGGTCGGGCCCGGCGCCCGGAGGCAGCGGCGTCGGGGACGGGCGGGCGAGCGCCGGCCGCCGCCTCTCAGGTAAACACGGGGCGCCGCTTACCTCCGTTAACATCATTACACCCCGGGGGAGCGGCGTCCTCCCTAGCCTCGCCGCATGGCAGCAGCCGCGGAAAGTGCCCGCCGGGCCGCCGCCAACGGCGGCAACTGCTGCTTCAGTCCCGTCCCGGGCGGAGGCTCGACTCGGCGTCGCTGGCTTCCCCCCGGCCCGGCGGCTCGCGACGGACGCGCCGCCATCTTGGAAGAGCGACGTCCGCGTCTCCCCGCGACGTGCGCTCCCATTGGCCGGCGCGCCGGGCGCGGGCGTCTTGTGACCGTCTCCATGGCGCCGGCGCGCGCGCGCGCAGGGGCGGAGGCGGGCGCCGGGGACGCACGGGACCCCGGCGGCGGCGGCGGCGGCGGAGGAGGGAAGGAGGTCGGGACGTGGGCGGCGCCGCGGGGGACCGTCCATCGCGCATCTCCCCTCTCCCCGGACCCCGAGGACACCCCAGAGAGCCCGGGCGCGCGGGACGAGTCCGGCCGCGGTGACCCGACGCTGCCGCCCGCCCGCCCGCCCGCGCCCGTCTCGAAACTTGGCAGAAACTTGTCTGCGTCCTCCCCGGCGCCCGCGACAGGTGATCCGGGCGGATCGCTCCCCGGATCCCCGTGCTGATTGGGCGGAACCCGCCGAACCTAAAGGCTTCGGGAGTCTCCCACACTCACCCTGACGATCTAGCAGCCTGTAAGGAACCGTCTTCTTGTCTACAGGTTGGAAATTCTACAGGGTCCCCAGCTTTACTGGGATGTTTATTTTTATTTTTAAGCTGTGTATAATGTATGTCAGGACAAGCGCGTTTCAACAGGTGTTTCTGGGCGTGGTTCCGAAGTAAACGAGACCCAACTCTGAAATTCTGGGACTCAGAGCCCGCCGAGGCCATCGCGCCTCCCAGAGCCCCCCCCGCCTCTGCCGTGAATGACGGTGAAAGCTCCGGCTTCTTCCCCGACGGCCGTGAAGTAATCTCCCCGAAGGAACCCTTGCTGTCACAAACGAATTTGCAAGGGGACTGGGAGAAGTGTTTGGACTTGAGAAATAAAACACTTGCATTGAATCCTTGCAAAGGCCTTATTATAAAAGGGATTGTGGAAAAACTTCCTCTGTACTGGAATCTTTTTCCCTTAACAATGGTGCTACTGTGCTAATGTAATTTAAGATGTGCTCGTAAATTCCTATAACAGTGAGTAAAGCAAATGCATTACAAACCCAGTATTATCTCTATTCTGTTGTGTCCACCCGAAGAAAAATTAATGTAAGCAATCATATCGACTTTCAAAACGGGGGGAAGGGGGAAAAACTGACTGCTGCATTTCAAGAAGTAACAAGTAGTTTGCTTTTTGCTGTTGTTTGCTTGGGTTTTTGTTTTGTTTTGTTTTGTTTCTGTTTTTTTTTCTCTGTAACTTATTTCTGATTTCTCTGCTGGAGCAAGAGCAGTCTACCTTCTGCAATACAATAAAATATATTCCCTGTGTCGCAGATTAATGTATAAATAGGAAGCAAGATTGAAAAATACAAGCTGCATAGGTACTAAGAGAAACCAAGAGAAGAGACAACAAAGAACCTGGAAAAAGATACTGTTCCAACCTGTAAATAAGAATGCAGGAGGTTCATTAATGTTTAAAATAGCAACTAGTGAATTAAAATTGTAATTTAGGCGTCTGGCCTGAGTAGTCTGTTCTATTTTTTCCATCATTTTCCCTTCATAGAAGCAAGATATTTTCACTCTTGGTTTTGGAGGGGGGGTGTTTGTTTTTTGAGACAGGATTTCCTTTTGTAGCCTTGGCTGTCCTGGAACTGGCTTTGTAGACCAGGCTGGCCTCAAACTCAGAAATCCACCTGCCTCGGCCTCCTGAGTGCTGGGATTAAAGGTGTGCTCCACCATCAACAGGCTGTTTTCGCTTTTTTAAAAAGTGACGAATTAAGAGGCTTTGCTGAACATGTGCAAAGCCATGGGTTACACATAAATAAGGTGTAGGAACAATTGCCTGTAATCCCAGCTCTTGGGCTGTAGACAATGGAGAATTAGAAATTTGGGGTCGATATCAACTTAAAGATAAATAAAGCAAATATAAGGCATTCCAGAATCCCTGTGTGAAAGGAAAGAGGAGTGCAAATTTGAGTGTAGGCATAAGCAAGGTTCACACACAAAACTGGCGTGGGTGTGCCTTTAGCATTCAGAACTTTGTAAGCCTGGCAACAAATCAAGATCCTCAGCCCTTCCCATCAAATTTCCCAGCCAGAATCTTTTAGTATGGCTTCCCAGTCCCCACCTACCCCCCACCTCCCAACCCCGCCCACACAACTTACTTCTACCAGGTACTTTGTTCTGGCTACACAGGTCTACTCCTTGCTTCTATACTAACTGGACTTCCTACTCAAGACCTTAGCACAATTAACTCTATTTGGAAGAACTTTTACTGGATATCAGCAGACACTTGCCCTTGCCCCTTCCCCTTCTCTGCTCTGTTTTCTTTTTCATAGTAGTTATGTTTGCTGGTTTTTATCTTACTTTCTGTCTTTTGGTAGAATGCAAGCTTCACAAAACCAGGAACTTAAGTGATGTCTCCTTGGTGGCCCAAATCCTGGACTGTTAAGTGGCACAGGGTGGATGCCCAGGGTTCCTGGAATGAATAGTGAGCCATTACCTAAGGGACCTCAGGAAAATGCCCTGAAGAGAACTAGAAACAAACCCTTTATGTTGAAAATGAAACTACTTTAAAACTAATGTTGCATACTCTTTGTGATTATTGGACAGCCACTGCAGTCACTGGAGACCTAAAGGATGTTCAGGACAGGCTGTGAGCCATGCGGTACTAGGAACGTAGGCTTCACTGTGTGCTAGGAAAGGACCACAACAATGATGTCTTGGTGCTTCTTGTTTTTAAAGTCCCAGTGTGTTCCTGCAGCTGCCTGTGGACTTGCTCTCCAACCCAGGATGGCCCTAAGGCTTCAGTCCTGCCTCAGCTCCTAAGATTACTAGCCTGTACCACCAGGCCCAGTTTCTCTTGACCGTCTTACGTATATGTCGAATGTGTGTTAATTTACTAGCAATAAAGTAAAATACACTAGTGTAGAAAGTTATGGAAATTGAGTTATGTGGCTGGAAAAGAAAATGCTTACAGAAGCAAGTACCTCTAAAATTCTAAACAAAGTAAGTCCCAATTTAGAAAGGGTGGCAACCTCATTCATGTGACCTCAAGGACATCCTATTCCTATCAGTTGGTTCAGAAGAAATCTGAGGTAGGAGGCTGCTGGACTGTGGATAAGAAATTTAGAACAAAACAAGCTTTCTTAAGAAGCACATGATACTGCAAAAGGTTTGATCCCAACAGCTGTGTGCATCAGCCTGATTGACACTGGAGAGGATGTCACAGAAGAGGGGTCAAGGCAAAAGTTAAGCCCTAGATACTTACAAACAGGCCACTGGCCTTGGTGTCCAGGACTCCAGAGACTGAGAATATCCATTGCCAACTTCTATTTCTACAAATTCAGCTCTCCACAAATTGAATCTGATTTCATTTTGAGAAACTGAAAAAGTGCATGTGATTAACTTCCAGCAATTCTCATGTTTAAATTTTAGCACCATAGGCCAATTTTAGTTTTATTTGTAATTCACAATTATACAGATTCACAGTATATAATGTAGTGTTGTTGTATATGTATTCACTTAAAAAGTAAAGCTATATATTTTATTATCTTTATGACAAAACCTTCAATGTCAGCACTTCTAACAAATTTGAAACAAATCATCCTCTGATGATGTACACTGTCCTCTACTGAGCATTATTTACTTTCATCCACAAAGCCCAGGAACTAAGGCAGCAAAGCAGGACGGGAAGAGCATACTGGCCGCAGACATGCATTCTAAGAACAGTCAGGCGTGTACTCCCCTTCTGTTAGAAGTCAGCAGGATAATTCAAATCTCAGAGCTGTAAAGTCAAGCCTGAATAGGCCAGCATATCATTCGCTTATTGAGGCTATGTTAACCCAACTCAACACTAAGACAGATGGAAGTAATATGGGGGGCTTCTGCTATCAGCACACAGAGCCACAAGATGATTATGTTCACACAGCTGTTCAATAATAGATCTAAAATAAAGCTACACTAAGGTCTATATAGAAGGATATATTACAAATATGTAAAAGCTGGATACTTCAGTAGTTCAATAAGTTAATGGTGTTCCAATCAGTAGTTTTAAACACAAATACTTTGGCAGGGAGATGGCTCTTTGGATGAAATGCTTGCTATGAAAGCCCTAGGACCTTAGTTCTGATCCCCAGAACCAGTGAAAAGCTGGTCTAGGTAGCTCAGACCCATAACCTTGTTACTACTCCAGGGAGAAGAAGTCTGAAGGTCAGCTTGCCTGTAACGACAGGAAGAACACCAGAGCCTTTGCCTCCTCCAGTGCAGTAGAAGGCAAGGACTCTGCTACCTGTGGTCCTCTGCCATAGCACGCGCGCGAGCGCACACACACACACATACACACACACACACACACACACACACACACTACACAAACACAAGATGCAGACAACTTCCACACATTATTCTTAGTTACAGAAACTGGTTTTGGTGCCATTTAGTGCGGGCACTGTGGCGGCAGTGAGCATTTGAAAGAGCCCTTAGAGATCCAGGTGTCACAGGTTGCTTCCCAAGAGCACGCAGGACCTCCTCACTGGAATGGATGTTTGCCAACCGGAAGTGCTTGCCCAGGGAGGAAGTCAAGATGTGCAGCCCATTCCTAGAAAACAGACATGTGTGCTGCTCTTCTCTGGGAACAGGGCATTAACAGGCTACTTGGAATGCTTTTCCATGAGAGAGTTGCCACTTCTCTATTTTAAAAATCTCTCGTTTGGCCAGGCAGTGGCGGCACACGCCTTTGATCCCAGCACTGTGGAGGCAGAGGCAGGCAGATCTCTGTGAGTTCGAGACCAACCTGGTCTACAAGATCTTGTCCCAGGACAGCTTCCAAAGCCACAGAGAAACCCTGTCTCGGGGGGGAAAAAAACAAAAAGCCCTCGTTGCTTGTTTGACAGTTTGATACAAATAATGAATTTTGGTCACAGTATTCTTTTGTCCCCTTCTCCCAGCAAGTGGGCTCATTTGTGTCTGCTTTTGCATGTAACCCATGCAGTTTAATCACAGTGTCTTGCCCGTGCATGGGCAGGAGATCACCTGGAGCACAGGAAACATCCCATCACTTATGTGGGTCTGGGTGCATAGACACCTCTCTATCCTGTTAGTTAGAGTTCGATGCTAATTAATTGTTCACATTCCCTGCCTTTTACCCGGTGGAGTGCTTCTAGTTGCCCTTTGTCCCGGCACTCATTCCTGTCAGTGTGGGATGCGGTGCTTTTCAGCTTTTTGGCTTTTTATTTATTTTTTGTTGTTGTTGTTATTGTTGGTCTTTTGTTTGTTTGTTTGTTGTTTGTGGGGGGTTGGTCTTGTTTTGGTTTGATTTGGTTTGGTTTGGTTTTCCTTTTGGCTACTTCCTCTACTTCTGGTCACATAGGCTACAAATGGCCATTCCTTGGTCTAGCCTACAATCAATCATCTCAAAGAAACCTCAGGTCCATTTATTTGGAAATAGTACTAGAAACAAGACCTGGACTCTAGAAGCGATTTTTGCTGCTTGGGTTACTGTTTGCTTTAGACCAGTGGAGCTCCTAGAGCCCAAGAAACTACACGAGTTACTTTTCTTGTTGCTGTGAAAAAAAGTTCTGATAAAAGCAACTTAGAGATTAGTTTTGGAGAAGTTTGAATAAATACAGCCCATCATGGCATGGTTTTAAAGCTCAACCTACAGCAACAGCAGACTGAAGTTAGTTCAATGAAACCAACAAGGGATAGAGACCTACCCCAACAACCTATATCTGTCAGCCATGGTACACAGTCCTGAAGATGCCATGACATTTCAAAACAGTGCCCCCTGGGTGGACACCAAGTGTTCAAGCATGTACATCTGTGAGAGACCCTTCACATTGTTCAATGCAATATGTGTATAGAGGCCAAAGAGACAGTTCACTCAGTGAAGTGCTACCCTTGAAAGCAGGAGGGATCATCAGAACGCATGTGCAAATGCTGAGCATGGTGGCACACTGATGTAATCCTGGCACTGGGGGAGCAGACACAGCCCCCTGGCCAGTCACCCCCGGCAATGGTGGGCTTCAGGGCAAGCGAGATCCTGGAAGGAGGAAGACAGCCCTGAGGGTGACACCCCAATGTTGTCCTCTCTTGCTCACATGCACACGCACATACACTGACACACACATATGCATTTATAAGTGTGTGTGTAGCAATATCAGAATACTTAGCATGTACTCTCGTGGGAACCATTTATCACCCAGAGTACAGAGCTGATACCTACATAAGCTCTTTTACACACCTCAAACATTTCCAAACCTTCAATGAGATATTTCATGCATTTATAACATGTATTTATAACTGGTGGCAGTTTGCTTTTGTTCCTGAGATCTGTGTGATCTACATGGTTTAGGTATTTTTGGTGGGGGGATGGGGGTCCTATCTTTTAATGTGTGAATGTTGCCTGGCTTCCTGTGCTTGAAGTTCCATGAGTCTTCACAAATGCATAGTGTCATGAACTCTGCTTCACAGTATGCAGAATGCTCTTGTGTCACTCACAATAAGGGGAAGTACA